GTCCCCCACCATTGTCAGATAAAAATTTTGAGTGTTTACACGAACTCCGGCCGGCCGCAGTGTGGAAAATACTGTAAATTTTCCAGAAAAGGGATTTAAGGGTAAATAATGCCCAAAATTTTGTTTTTTTAAAAAGAAGTATTTATCGAAGAGGGGGAAACCCTGGGGCTGGGGGGGGATCGCCATCGGGGTTTTAATTTTGTACAAACTTTTGGTGTAATGGGAAGAATTTTTGTGCTAAAAGGGGTTTAAAATTGTGTTGACACCTCTCAAACAGGGGGCAAAATTGGGGATGTGGCTTTCCCTCATAACTTGAATATCAACGACTGGACAAGACAGCTCCAGAACCTCAGATAAGCTCTCAATTTGTGTGTAATTCGGCCAGCATTATTTCATAGTTTATTTGAGTGGGGTTTTCTGAGTATAACCATTAATCTCCAGTAAAATTTGGGTGAGTGATATAAGATAATTCTCCTTCTGTTTATAAATGGTATTATTTTTACTATAATCATTATTATTTTTAATAAAACAGTCCAAAATTTTTATGTATTTAACAGCATTCCTGTGAAACAAATCTTATGATTAATGGGTCCAAGCAACTTTGGAAAAGACAGTGGTAGGTATCAAAGGGGGGACATTTTTTGGACCTAGATGTCCCAAATTTTCCTACTTGTCTATTAACATTTGATAAAAAAAAATTATCTTTTTACATTTACTTTTTATGTACAAATTAGTTACTTTTCAAAAAAAGTAATTTCCACATTTAACTTAAGGCAAAAAATTGATGTTTACCTTAATGTAAGGGATTTTTTACTCAACTATAGTACACAAAGATTTTACACAATAACATTACAAACACTTTTTACAACACTTAGGACCAAAATTTTATACAGTAACACAGATGTTAAACCCCAAACACGAGTACACTCTTATGTATATAACATACAGTAACACAGATGTTAAGAAAACTACAGTACACTCAAAATTTATAAAAGCCAGTACACACAGATGTTTACACAACAATCACACATGTTTATAAACTAAAGTACACACAAATTTGAAACAACAAACAGTATACAGAGATGTTTACCAGCTTAGTCCACAACACACTCTCACACAAATTATTTTTCGTTGAGGGTTTTGTTCAAAAACCCCTGGTGACTGGTATGCGCTGTTGTCCCTACAGGTGAAGGGGCTCATAAAGAAATTTGGGAACCCTCATCAAAAATTGGGGGCCCCCCTTTAATAACCTTGCCTACCTTCACTAAAATGCTTTCCCCTGTATCTAAGGCTGACACTTTAATTGAATTGATTCCTGCCATCGATAAAGCCTTAACTCATTTAAATAAAATTTTCCATGCTTGTGCAGAAGTCAGACCAGGATGGTAAAATTGTGGACGTGGAGTCGAGGCACATCTGTGGGTTCCATCTCACCTGGTCTTTAGATCACGAAGAAATTGATGAATTGGCTAAGTTATACTCTCTCAAAGAGGGAGTAGATTACAATTTTGGGTTGTCAGTCAGCAGTTTGAGAACAATTATACGAAAAGAACTTCAACCGAACTTTATTGACTTAAGACTCAAGGAGACTGACATCAGTCAGTCCATCTATCATCATTCTATCATGCAGGAGGAGCCACAGGTCTATGGTGCATCCAACAAAATAAGCAGACTCTTGGATGTCACTACTGCCCGGCTCCGACTGGGTTACAAGTATCATTGGAGGTTAAATCACCACCGCCAGATGTAGACCAAACGAAACGTAAACTTTGCCAGATGGACTATTGTCACACCCTGCGTCATTATGTACTGGAGTGTGATCAAATTAATGAATTCAGAGACAACTCACTCAGAATTGTTCAAGAAATGGCAAGGTATTTTATCCACAGTGATATATTACAAACTATTCTGGAAAAATACCCTGACTTTACTCACTGTAAATAAAGCATTACCACGTGAGTTTGTGTGTGTGTGTGTAATCACCTAGTTGTACTCAGTTGAGGTTGCGGGGGTCGAGTCCGAGCTCCTGGCCCCGCCTCTTCACTGATCGCTACTAGGTCACTCTCCCTGAGCCGTGAGCTTTATCATACCTCTGCTTAAAGCTATGTATGGATCCTGCCTCCACTACATCACTTCCCAAACTATTCCACTTACTGACTACTCTGTGGATGAAGAAGTACTTCCTAACATCCCTGTGATTCATCTGTGTCTTCAGCTTCCAACTGTGTCCCCTTGTTACTGTGTCCAATCTCTGGAACATCCTGTCTTTGTCCACCTTGTCAATTCCTCTCAGTATTTTGTATGTCGTTATCATGTCCCCCCTATCTCTCCTGTCCTCCAGTGTCGTCAGGTTGATTTCCCTTAACCTCTCCTCGTAGGACATACCTCTTAGCTCTGGGACTAGTCTTGTTGCAAACCTTTGCACTTTCTCTAGTTTCTTTACGTGCTTGGCTAGGTGTGGGTTCCAAACTGGTGCCGCATACTCCAATATGCGCCTAACGTACACGGTGTACAGGTATCATGTGGGAGTTCGAATACGTGGATAGGGTAAAGTAATACTCACGTAGGCTGGTAGTACATATAATTACGGATAATGTGGGGAGCGCCCAAACAGCCGTACCTATCTCTCTGCTCTCTCTCGTATAACTGACTGGCCGCCCACAGTACCCATATGTGAGGGGGTCTTTGAATACTGCTGTGGTCAGCACAATATGAATACAGACAGTGACTCAGGTAGAGACGGTTGGTAGTGAGTCATCTACTGGTACACTGGTTACTGGTAACTGGTTACTACTACTGAGACAGGGTCCTGAATGATTCCTTATTAAGATGTCGGAATGCTGTTCTGAGGTTTGCTAGGCGCCCATATGCTGCAGCAGTTATTTGGTTGATGTGTGCTTCAGGAGATGTGCCTGGTGTTATACTCACCCCAAGATCTTTTTCCTTGAGTGAGGTTTGTAGTCTCTGGCCCCCTAGACTGTACTCCATCTGCAGTCTTCTTTGCCCTTCCCCAATCTTCATGACTTTGCACTTGGTGGGATTGAACTCCAGGAGCCAATTGCTGGACCAGGTCTGCAGCCTGTGTGTGTGTGCATGTGTGTGTGTGTGTGTGTGTGTGTGTGTGTGTGTGTGTGTGTGTGTGTACTCACCTAGTTGTACTCACCTAGTTGAGGTTGCGGGGGTCGAGTCCAAGCTCCTGGCCCCGCCTCTTCACTGGTCGCTACTAGGTAACTCTCCCTGAACCATGAGCTTTATCATACCTCTGCTTAAAGCTATGTATGGATCCTGCCTCCACTACTTCGCTTCCCAAACTTTTCCACTTCCTGACTACTCTGTGACTGAAGAAATACTTCCTAACATCATCTGTGTCTTCAACTTCCAACTGTGTCCCCTTGTTACTGTGTCCAATCTCTGGAAAACACCCTGTCTTTGTCCCCCTTTGGGTCAATTCCTCCAGTATTTTGTATGTCGTTATCATGTCCCCCCTATCTCTCCTGTCCTCCAGTGTCGTTTGGTTGATTTCCCGTAACCTCTCCTCGTAGGACATACCTCTTTGCTCTGGGACTAGTCTTGTTGCAAATCTTTGCACTTTCTCTCGTTTCTTTACGTGCTTGGCTAGGTGTGGGTTCCAA